CACACACACACACACACACACAAACACACACTCACACAACCACACATACACACGCATGAACACACGCAATCATATTCTTTCAGTCACAGCTGTTATCTTTATCCCTGTTTACTGTTTATTCACCTGTTTAAGTGTTTATCAATTCCCATAAACATTGTTTTAGGGAAGACGAGGCAGCCACGGGCGACTCCCTCATCTGTATGTCAATACATATATGCAAACTCACACGCATTATCTTTAAGTAGTAATAAAAACGCCCCTTTCTAAAAATGAACCTTGCACTGAGTTTTTTTTCCCGAACTTTGGTACACGCCTCAAAATATTTACAAAATATTAATGGGTGGGGAAGACTTGTCGCCTAACAAGACACAACAATAGTAACAGTTGTTTTTCATGGTAAAGATACACGTAATTAGTATGTACTCTGTGTCGCCTTGTATCAAAAAGCATGTATGCTGGTACCACAGAATTCTACACTAAGTGTAGAATTCTGTGGCTGGTACAGATGCTGGGGGTGGTGTTCCTGTTTGGTTTTCCAGTGCCGGTAGAAGCGCCAGGTTTGCTTTTCTTTACTTTTGTTGGCCCCCTCTGGAACATAGACCTCCAACAAGCTCTCAGATCTCGTAATTCCGATTCTGTTCTAGTCTCTTCAGGTTGTTTCCAGAAATGTTCGACCGTTCGTCCGCGCACGCGCACATTCGCACCACAGTGCCAGTTGTTCCGTGGCCTTCCTCTCTTACTGTCCCTCGCGTATATGTCTGTACCCGCCTTTTTTATCCCAGAAAAATTACGAAATTATTCAATCTGAGCCCAAAAATGTGAAATTAAGTGATTCTGATTTTTAAAAACAAAGAATGATAAAGGGAAAAAAATCAGAAATTTTGCAAAAAAAATGATCAGATTTTGTTAAATTATGCGGGGTACATAAAATCACGGGGACAGATATGTCAGACTTGCCTTGGGATACATGTGTACTTTGGGTAGAAGAGTATGGTCCATCTTTTTCCAACATTTGCGAAGGAAATTGTCCTAGACAAGCTGTTGTTTAGTTTGTCGCCATAGTTTCTACGCAGATTATATGTGGTTGCGGACACGAAGAGTTCAGCTTTGGCATGTGGTGACAAACTTCGGTATCCTCTTAATATAATACGTGTAATAAACAGCATTAATTGTATTGTGTATGTCCCCGCTCGACAGCAAGCTCTCTACATTTATATATATATATATATATATATATATGTGTGTGTGTGTGTGTGTGTGTGTGTGAGTGTGTGTGTGTGTGTGTGTGTGTGTGTGTGTGTGTGTGTGTGTGTGTGTGTGTGTGTGTGTGTGTTGGGTTTGTTTTTGTTTTTTTGCAGACTGGAACATTTAGAAAAATGCTCGGCTGCACAGCTGATTAAACACTCGAACATTAACAAACTGACGACATCTTTCGCTGTCTAAAGCCGGTACATTACCCATTTCCACCGGCGTAAAGTAAGGAAAATTCGTGTAACGTGACTTTCCCAAGGTCACGACATCATTGGGCTCCTGGCGAGATTCGAACCCACGACCCAAGAGCCTAACCACAAAGCCATCGACGCCACACATACCTAACAGACTTCACGCCTTGGCAGCCTACCAAGACACGCTTGACGAAAGCGAGTGTGCTCTGAAGCAACGTAACTCACCATAACCTCTTATTCGCACTGGAAAAAAAACCCTCTAAGATATAGGCCTACCTGGAATTTCAAGACCACGGACATGCCAACGACCTCTTACGAATCACTTTTTAAAAAGCAGTTACACCTTTAAAGTTATAACCAATCTATGCCAAAAAGTAGTTTTCATTGCAGACTCACAAAAGAGCCCCCAACTGCTTCTAGGTATGTTGTGATCGTAATGATTTTTATTTGTAAAGAAAACGGAATGCGTGGTACCCCCCCCCCCCCTCCCCAATAAAATACACAAAAACGTTTTTAAAAAATCCCAGTAAATCCATTGATTTCAGTCTTGCTGGCACTCCATGGTGATAGTGACGAAATGGCAATTTAAATGCCGACGCAGCACAATAGTAACCTGAATATTAACTTAAACTACAGGGTCTTTATCACACAACGTTACCCCAAGAAATGCCAATTGTATGACCACCGATATGAGACACGCCTGGGTTACTTACTGTGTTAAATTTACGGTTAAAAGAAAGGAAGCCTGCCACTTTCTGAATGCGTATTAAATCTAAACTTTTGAATCTTTATGCTTTATCTTTCACGTGGGTAGTGCTATGTACTGTGAAAAAAGTTATATAATGTTTTAGAAATAACATTTTGGTGCTTCAATTAGTGTTTACAATACCATTGTGAAAAAAACAACAGAAAATTTAGATTTTTCCTCCAAACACGGGCGGGTTTTTTCTATTCTTTGATTTTAAAAAAAATTAAGTTTAGGTCTGTGTTTACTTAAAATCGCATCAACGTTTGATCATGGTCACCCAAAAGAGACGGCATCATTAACTCAAAATTTTAAAAAAATCAAGCCATCGGCATGCTCAGCGCGCTGCTGTTGCGAAGACATTCAACGTCAGCAGGACTATCACCATCAGCCCACTGAGACAACGTACTATACGTTGTGACGTGGCCTGTTTAAAACCGACCCAGAACTGGCTGTCCAAGGGTAACAAGATAATTAATGTCATTTTAAGACTGAGTGTACCTGGGAAATCGTTTCAGGACTTCTGCTCAAACCGAAAGGCAAGTTCCTGGACTTTTACTCGACAGCTGGCTTACTGTTCTTTGGAGACTGCGGGAATTTAAGATTGGAGCTGGGATGCCTAAACACAATCAGCGTTTACAGCCAAAACATCGTCAGGCTAAGCTGAACTGGTCACTGGTCACAGCTACACCACCGAAAGGACTTGGAGCAGTGGATACCGTCATCTTCTCGGACGATTCTCAATTCCAAGTTGAAGGCCACAATGGGAGAGTAATTGTGTACAGGAGATCACATGAGCACTATCTGCCTTTTCTTCAACAACACAATCAGTCCATACTATTCTGACAGGACAATGCACATCGTGCACTCCACAAGGAATCAAATTCTTAAAAATCCAGAGTAACCATGCTGCCCTGAATCTACGGTCATCCATGTTACCAGGTTTTAACCCAGTTGAGCACATAAGATAAGATAAGATAAGATAAGATACATCTTTATTGTCCAGATCCTGGCACATTGGTTTAGTGTTTCACCACGTGTACACACACACACACACACACACACACACACACACACACACACACACACACACTCACACACACACACTTACACACACATACACACACTTACACACACACACACACACACGCGCGCGCGCGCGCACACACATGCACACAAACACAGGCTTACAATCACATGCATTATATAAATGAGCAGCAAAATCAACAATAATAATCGTTAGCTATATACACACTCAATGTTATTTTGATGCTTGATCTAAGGTCGTAAGTTGGTTAAGATAGAAGCATTTTGATTGATGATGGTAAAAATGATCTTCTATGTAAAAATGACAATACATGTGGGAATATAAGACAACAAAATATTACAACTATGGGTTATCATCTTTAAATCCTTTAGCCTACTCAGCTCAGAGCCTCACCGCCCCCCCCCCTTTTTTTTCACAAAGAAAACGATTATCAATTACACAAATCAAACAACCCCCCCCAAAAAAAACAAAAAACAAACAAACAACCCCACCAAAGTTTTATTTAAGCTTATAACGGCCACGAAAGATAGACATATAATTGTGATAACAGCAATTACAGTTATGTGTCTTGAAGTAGATGCACACAGCAGTAAGTCATGGCGAGTCGCAAAGAAGTCTCGAAGTTTGGAGACGTATGGATCGACACTTTGAGTTAGGCTAGCACGTGGCGTCAAAGATGTTTTTAATAACTAAGTGACTGAGTGTGTGAAGAGTGTGTAATTATGCCAGACTTTTAACGAATATATTGAGCAGCATACAAATATTTCGTGTAGGATATTGTCAATTTCATAACATCTTGCTTGCTTATTGTTTTCTTTCATATATGTAATAGACAATCTGTTCTAATAAGCGTTTCAAAAGCAGTCACTTCGCACAAGACTGGTTTGTAAAAGAAAAAAGGGGCGTGACCAATGAAAGAAAACAACGTCACGTGATTTTCCTCTGTCACGTGATTGCCACATCGCGGTAGCAAAATTTATCCAGTTGCATTGCGACTTACATTCGCTGCCGGGTTAGCATCGAGAAAACATAGCGACATCATGGCAGGCGCAAGCTCAGGAGTGTTACCTTTCTATCAACGTTATGTGAACGGGGTTCCCGTTCCAGGACGCAAAACATTGAGGTTGAGGGAAAAATATATACTTTTGTTAGTGCTCATGACCTTCTCAATTGTATGTATGTGTGCGTTCATGTATTTGCCTAATCTACATGATAAGGTGTCTATGGAAGAGATGCGAAAGAGGTTACATGATGCTGGAGATAGATTGTTTATTCCTCAAGCAAGAATGGGGCCTGACGGTGTACCTTTAGATTGGGGTAAAGTTCTACGACACGATGAGGATGAAGACGTACATAATGTGAATGATAAACATAAGCTTCAAGGGAAAATCGAAAAAGCATGGGAGCAGGATAAACTGAGCGAAGCGCTAGGGAAACAAATGGATTTACACCCTGATGAAGCACAAAAGTTGAAGGAAAGCATTAAATTTGAGAAAGAAAATGTGCTTCAAAAGCAACGAGAGGAGAATGAAAGGCAAAAGCTTGCTGCTATTGAGGCTGCAAAACAGGTCGTGAAAGATCATGATGGACACCCGGGTTCTCGAGGCGGTGAACCTTCTGATCCGGATGCAAAGGAAAAGAGGGATAAAGTCAGAGAGGTAAGCATGTTTCGTAGGTTCAGAGTCGGAATCTTCTATGAGTATGAAGTATGAGAATGTTTTGCCTTATTTTACTTGTCACTAATTCTAAATGGGGAAAGGTCTTTCTGAGAAGTGCTGCCTCTGACTGTCTTTGCGGGAAAACAAGCACTATTTCACTCAAAAGAAAAATTGAAAGAAAGGTGCGGTGTTCGTATTTTTGTTTCCGCTAGATCTTGATATCTAGATCTAGATCTAGATCTAGATATAGATTTAGATAGATCTCTGCGTCGTAGTGTCAGAGATTGTATATTCTCATAATTCGGAAAAGTAAGAATTTTCGGCTGATTTGATAGCTCAGACATGATGCATGATCTGGTTCCTTTTTGTTTTAACAGTGTTTGTTTTTCTAAGCATAAAAATTGTCAAGAAAAAAATTCTAGGCTCAGAATTTATCGTCCGCTACTCTACCTGAAGCGTACAGATAAGTGATTTAGGTTGAAGAACAAAAGTGTCAAAAGCTGAATTTGAAAATGTCTGAAATCTTGATTGAATTCTACTGTCTTCCCTGACCTACAACAAACATCAGAGTAGGGGACATGGGGCCACCTCAATTTTACAATAGAGAGATAAAAGGTGGGTGGTTGGCAGGTGCTCTGGTTGTGGTTTGTTCCTTCTTTCCTATCCAACATCTATCATTCTTATATAATAATCTCTCCTCCTTTTTTGTTTTTTTACCCTCTTTTAACACCTATAATCTTCGGCACTTACATGACCTGTTGTGTTGCAAGTGCCGTAAAACTCTTACAAAAACAAGGGAATGTTACCTCAGTCTGTGGCCATAGTTGATGAATTAGGAATAGATAGAGGGAAGCTTTAGTAGAACAATAGTTGTGAAGACTTGGAATAGATAAGTTTTATACTTTCAAAGTTTAAATGTCCAATGATTGGATCATGTATCATTGGATATTTTAATCCAAAGAGCCTCTTTGCCTGTCAGAAGGCTTCAATTGATTTCCTTAAAATACATCTTTGAGGACGTAAATTGATCGTTTTTAAGCACAAAAGGGGGCTGTCCCAATTTTTCAGTTTCTCTGAAAGACAAGGAGAGTTTAATTTCAATTTAAAACAAATAAATATATACACACCAAAGAAACCAAACTTCTCCTATTATTATATAAGTAGGGCAATGCCCACTTTTGGTGTAGGTCAAGATTTCTGGAAACCCCCGAAATCTGGGATAACCCGCTTGCTTGTCCTTAAAAGCGACAATACATTCATCAAAAGGGTCAACCTTAAATAGCCTTATTATCTTGGAAAGGGTATGAATTGAGACAGCCGTCGTTTCAACAATGAAGAGAGGGCATTTGATGAATGATTTCTTTCTTGATATTATATGATTGACTGACACTGTGTTAGTTGTTTTAAAGTTTTCACGTGCCACTGTTTGCCACTGTTTCAACCTTAGTTTTGCTTGAATTTATGAGAAAAAGCCCAAAAAGTATGGATTATATTATGCTTCCTTAATACTTAAACGAGTGATGCGGTTAATGTTACCTGATCTCTTTCTCTTCTTTTCTAAACCTCATAATTTTTTGTGCTTTGCTTTTTTTCTTTCTTCTTCTGTCTAGTTTCCCTTCAATGATTGTAAATCGAGACTGTTTTTAGAAGCAGACAGCTTTGACTTTGATTACAGCTTTCAAGGCCAAACCTGACAATAATGGATGTTTATCATGACAAAGTAGACATGAGTGATGCTTCTCCAACCCATTATATTATATATATAAATTGCCAGTGACAGGTTTTTGACATTTAGGTGGCTGTTAAAGAAATCAGTCAACTCTGTGAGTCTAAGCGATTTTATTTATAAAAGAGTGGATGGTGAAATTTTTTTTTGGGGGGGGGGATTGAAAATATCTGTGCAGAGTACACAATGATAACCCTTCTCACACCACTTCTGACATTTTTGTCAACATCAATTGTTGCACACTTGCAATATTTACCTATTTAGTTTAGTTATAGCTCTTCATTTGTTAATATTATAATGAGGCCACATTCTAGTGGTCTTAATCTCAGATCTCTGTGTTTTTTGGCATTTTCTATTTCTGCGCTGTTTGTGAATTAAGAGAGTTACACACATATATATGCTTGTTCATGTTGTTAAATTCCTGATTAGTTTTGTATGTATATTTATATATGAAAACAAACATGATGCATTTTTGCCAATAGGCTTCTAATTTGTTGAACAACAGGGGGGTGATCTGTTTGTTTTGACCCTAACCTTTTCTGTTCTTTCATGCTTGAACTATGCTGACAATTTGAATACCGGACATTCTTGTGTGTTTCTTGAAGTTGATAAATTTGATGATTGCCTCAAACTCGAATCTAATCTCATGAAGGAAAACAGTGTTTGCGTGCCCCGCAGCCCACACTCCTTTCTTCTCTCTCTCTCATACATTGTAAATTTCACAACTTTCACTCCCTTCTTCTCCTAGATAACAAAATGAAACTGAGAACTTACCTTGTCCTGTACGTTGCAATATGTGC